ATCGGCCGAGAGACGGCTCGTATCTCGAAAAACTCGTTAGTCTGGACACTCGTAAGTCAAGGCCCCACTGTATGTATGTGTGTGTGTGTATATATATATATTTGTATATAACTTCTGCATTAGGTAGCAAGCCCTGTTAACTGTAGGTGATCAGTAAATGCTTATGGATGGATTCTGGGCTGACTTGACTTTTTCTGATAATACGATTTTAGCCTTTACCTATACTACCTTAAATTTTCCATTCTGGGTTTTATTTTTTTTTTTAATTCCTCATTGGAGATAGCAATGAGCCATTCATGATTTTGTTACTTTGGTGATTGTCCTGCAAAACCATGATTAAGTGTCTCTTAGCCTTAGAAGGCACTTGGAGGAGGAGAAGGAAATAAGCTCCAGATTTTTCTTTGTAACCTTGTTTCTTATGTCTTTGATGTCAGATGGGCTCCTTTAAGCCGGGAGGCCGAGTGATCCTGGCCACAGAGAATGATTACTGTAAGCTCTGTGATGCCTCCTTTAGTTCTCCAGCTGTGGCTCAGGCTCACTATCAAGGGAAGAATCATGCCAAGAGACTGCGGCTGGCGGAAGCTCAGAGTAACTCGTTCTCGTAGGTATTGCCGTTTTCTCTGAGGCCAAAGTGTTGTGTGAGACTGAGTGTCTGTAGAGAGAAAGAGTTGAAATGGATCCCTGTTTAGAAGTCTCACTCTTTTAAAATTTCTTTTCTTCAGGGAATCCTCAGAGGCCGGTCAACGGCGGGCCCGGAAAGAAGGGAATGAATATAAAATGATGCCTAATAGGAGAAATATGTATACAGTACAGAATAATACAGGTATCCAGTGAATTTCCACATACCTTGGCTACTGCTGCAAATGGTCTCCTTTACTTTTACTTCTTTTAATGGTAATAGATAGCCCTGAGAATTGGGGGTAAGCTGCTTTGTTTGAATTAGTCTAGTGGCTTTTCAAGCTGGTGTTTATTTCAGGTCTCAATTATTTATTTATTTTCTATTTAGTATGTTATTTATTTTTATTTTAAACTATAGTTTATGTTTTAAGATGTTTTATTATGGTTCCTTTATGTTTCTTCTGGTATTTTCCAGCTGAGGAATGTAAAATCTCTTATAAAAATGAGCTATTTGGTTTACGGTTGCACTGTGCTAAATCCATATATATTGGGGAAAATTAAAAGCATTATAGCAGTGGTGCTTCACCAGGGTAGTGAATTAGAATTGCCCTGGGGAGTTGTTATAAAATACACATGCTTGAACCAGGACTCAGAGATTTTCAGTCAGTATATTTGGAGTAGGACCCAGACATACATGTACTTTGAAAATGCTTCCTACGTATACACCTTCAGTTCAGAACAACTAGTTTATAGGGATGATTATCTTGAGGAGGGAAAGTAGGACTGAATAGTCCCTCATCCTCCCTCTGCCCTGGTCTCCAATGCATACACATACCAGCGTAGGTTATTCATGTGAATAGTAAAACAAACAACAAATGAAAAACAGTTAATTGGAAAGGTAAGAGAAGCATAGAAAATAGGTACAGATAGAAACAACAATGTACTATAGCTGTAAAAAGCCTAAACATATATCAGTAATTGTAATAAGTGTAAATTTACTAAATTCTCAGTTAAAACCCAGAGGTTATAAAATTAGATTAAAAATTAGCTAAAATGAAGGAAGCTGAGATAGCAATATTAAAGTTAGATGAAGTAAACTTTAGATCAGAAGGTAGTTTAGACTATGTTCTCTGACCAGAGAACAAGTGAGATGTCAGTAAAAAAAATATTTTTAAAAATCACGCAGAATTTCCAGTTGTTTGGAAATTTAAAAACACTTCTAAATAACTCATAGGCCAAAGAAGAAATTATATAGAGTATTAAAAATATTAGAACCAAACATCAATAAAAATATATTAAATTTGTAGAATGAAGTGAAAGCAATATTTTGAGAAAAGCCTCAACTATTTATTATAGTAGAAAAGGAAAGCATAAAATTAGTAAGTTATTGGTCCAACCTAAGGAGTCAGTTATGTAAAAAGAATCAAAGAAAATGATCAATAATTCCACCAACATTTTTACATATGTCATTCCACTCTTTCTACATAATACTTCTTTAAAATAGAAATGTGATTATATTTTGTGATATTCTTATTTCACTTAATAGCATATTATAATCACACTAGAGGCCCGGTGCATGAAATTTGTGCACTGTCGGGTGGGGATGTCCCTCAGCCCAGCCTGCACCCTTTCCAATCTGGGACATCCCTCTCATAATCTGGGACTGCTGGCTCCCAACTGCTTGCCTGCCTGATTGCCCCAGCTTCTGCCTGCCAGCCTGATCACCCCCTAACCACACCCCTGCCAGCCTGATCGACGCCTAGCTGCTCCCCTGCCAGTCCGATCGCCCCCAACTGCCGTCCCCTGCTGGCCCGATCACCCCCAACCGCCCTCCCCTGCAGACCCAGTCACCCCCAACTGCCTTCCCCTCCTGCAGGCCTCACCCCCAACTGCCCTTTGCTGCCAGCCTGGTTACCCCAACTCCCCTTCCCCTGCAGACCTAGTCGCCCCAATTCCCCTCCCTCCCCTGCAGGCCTGGTCGCCCCCAACTGCCCTTCCTCCCCTGCAGGCCCAGTTGCCCATAACTGCCCTCCCCTGCTGGCCTGGTCGCCCCTAACTGCCCTCCCCTGCTGGCCTGATCGCCCACAACTGCCCTCCCCTGCTGGCCATCTTGTGGTGGCCATCTTATGACTACATGGGGGCGGCCATCTTGTGTGAGGTCGTGATGGTCAATTTGCATATTACCTCTTTATTATATAGGATTTTCACGTAACTAAAATATTTTTATTACTTTTAGTGACAGCATGGTTTTCCATTGCAGTTTTTACCGTAATTTTTTAAATTGTATTTTTGGAACTCTTCTTTTCTCACATCCTTCCAAAAAAGCTTTTTATAAATACTGATGAAATAAATATCCTCCCTGATAAATCTTTATGCAAGAATTCTTAATATTTTCTTAGGATAATTCTTAGAAATAGAATTTTTGGATTAAAGTGTTGGCATAATTATTAAACCATGTAATGCTGGGAAATTAAATCACTTTTAAAACTGTATCTACTTTTTAGAGACATTGTCATTTAGAATTTGGGTTTGGCTCTACAGTAACCTTTTTGACAAGAGTTGGAAGAATCATATTAGCTTTTAGATGAACCTGTATAAAATTGTAATTTAAAAAATCCATTAACTTCACGTTTATTTAAAGCGAGGAATCTGTGAATTTTATCATGACTAAAAAATACAAATTATAGTGATGATTGATCAGACTGTTGTCATTCACTTAGTGACTATTTTGAAGTGAACAAATTACTTTTGTCTCTTGCTTTGGCAGGTCCGTACTTCAATCGCCGCTCTCGGCAGAGAATTCCGCGTGATCTGGCCATGTGCGTTACTCCAAGTGGCCAGTTTTACTGCTCGATGTGCAATGTTGGGGCTGGCGAAGAGGTGGAATTCCGGCATCATTTAGAGAGCAAGCAGCATAAAAGCAAGGTGTCTGAACAGCGGTACAGGAATGAGATGGAGAATCTGGGCTATGTATAGGGATCGTTGTGTTCAGATAGAGCAGCTCGTCCTGCCTGTTATTTGCCTTCTGTCAACATGCCCTGCTTTGTGGTCCTTTTGATATAAGTACATTCCTCTGCTTAATGTTAATACTTGTAACTGCAGTGGTACCGTGAGATGTCAACATTGGGGAAGGACAAGAGCGTGCTTCTTAGGTCATGATGCTTTTTCAGGTCAGCTGTGTTGAGTTACTTAGAGCATGTGACCTCCCTACCCCATGAAAAATAAATTTTTATCTTGACCAAGTTCTGGTCAGTAAGAAGCCTGACCACTTAGAGCTTTAACTATTTAAAAATCTCATCTTCGTTTGCAATTTTGTGTACTGTTAAGGATTTTATTGAGTTCTTCAGATCACAGTAAAAACAGGTAAGCAGAGATTTCACTTTCCCAAGGCTCCTTTGGAACCTCACCTCAACTCAATATCTTGTCGGTAGGACATACTATTATAAACTGCATTAGGGTCTTTCCCAGGACATTTTTCCTCTTATCATGTCTTCCCATGATTGAGATGAAGGTTTTCTTGGATTCAGACACCTCCGAAGTCCTTGTGGACTTCCAAACAGTGTAACTTCATTTCCAGTTATGGATTTCACACGTTTAAATGCTACCTTTCCCCATCCTCGCCACCCCGGTTGAATTAGCTTGTCCCATAAGGTCATTTTCATGTCCCATCTATGTTGTGGGATTTCCAAGCCCCACATTTGAATATCCAATGAATTTAAGATAGATACGATATTTTTTTAAAAAAATATTTTTCAGCTGGTTTTAGGAAATGTAAAGATGTGTTTGATTTTTCAATTTAGAGTTACTTAGTTGATAATAACTTGTTACTTATATGATGGCCTCAGTCATAAATTTAGATCTCTGGGTATTTGGTTTGGCAGACTGTAGATACACTGATCCTTATATTTTACTTACATTCATCTGTGTGTTGTTAGTTGGCTGTCCTGAAAAATACTGTTTCACAGAGAGGAATTTTTAAAAAGTTGATTCAATTTCATTATCATTTCAAGTAGAAAAATACATGAACTTTGATTTCATTCTTTCTAATTAAGCTTCCTTGAAAATAGTAGAAATACATTATAGATTACTTGTTATCTGATAATTACAGCAGTATTATTAGTTTTGTATTTTTTTTTAAAGCTCTAGTGTATGTCTAGATTAAGTAATGGAGTACTCTATGAACTTTCATTAACTGTATTTTACCTACTTACTGTATTTACATGGATAAGGCTGGTGCTCATCCATACTTCTTTTGAAAGGCCACAAAGAAGTTTATGTTGAGCAGTATTTTTGCATTATGGTCAATTCATACTTGATTGCTCATTAAAAAATACCAAACTCCCGTTTTCCCTTGAGAATTCTATATGCAAAGAGATGAGGAGAAGGAAAATTATAACAATTCCTTTCTTTAATACTTCTAAACAATGTTGAACGCTCTAGACTCATGTTTAAAATTCAGTTTTGTGATTAACCTCTGGTACAGTATCAAGTCACTCTTCTGTTGGAGTGATGGTTTTTGAAAAGTAAAATTATTTAATAATATTTTTCTTTCCCAGAAACAGAAGAATAATATTCAGTTGAGATTCTCTTTAGAGCTGTGACTCTTAGCAAAATAATCCTTTGTGCAGTAATTTATAAAATACAGTTGATGAGTTTAGGGCAATTTAGAACTTATTTTATTGGTCAGTACATTATTCATTTTGCTGCTAAGTATAATTTTTTGGTAGATTTTAATATTACAGTGCTGGCCACTTGGTTCTATGATTATTTAAAAATCCCATTTTCCCTTCTCTCTGTATGTGTATTTATATACATATAGACACATGTATAAAATTATAGGTATATGCTTTTATGTGTTACCACAGAGAAGATTTCATTGAATTCTTATTTCAGATAACAGTAAAAGATTGTGGATAAGAATTTGCATTTTGTAAAGGTGACATTCATCCACTTTCAGTTTTTCCTTTGCAAATAAAATTAAAGGAAGGGTTTTCCTCACTCTCCCCACCTAATAATTTCATTATATATACAAAAACCAGTGGATTTAAGGCCTTGATGTGTTTTTCTGGCCTTTCGTGTTCAGGTTGCCAGTCTCCCAGTGCCCTTAATGGATGTTAGGAATGCATAAACGCATTTTCTTTGAAAGAAAAAAGATCTATAGTGTTATTTCTTACTTGCTATATTTCTTTGCACTAAAAAAGAGCTATGTTTTTGTTTTATATGAACACTTTAGATACCATATTGCCTACAATAACTTGGTTTGCTCCTTAATTTCTAAACTCTAGGAAGTTGGTAAATAACTTCCGTGATCATTTATAGAAGTTACATACACACCCCCCTAAAAAGCCCCTACACATCTCTGTGACAGTGGGTTGTGTTCTGGGCTCGATACCTTGCAATGATCTGTGTTCCATAGGTGAGACAAAGGGTGAGGCTGTCAGAAAGGAAATGCCTGAATAAAGACATTTCTGCATGGTGCAGTTTCTCATATCCACGCATTCCTCATAGACAGTGTTTTCCCTGTCGGAAAGCTTGTTGTGACTACTGCAGTCCGTGACTTGTGATCTCTGTTGATTTCATTTGTGAAGTCCAGTCTTGCTCTGTAACGTGCTTGAGACTTTGCATCCTGTGTTCCCCAGGAATCATGTTAGTGTCTTTTATATGCTGTGTACAAGGACAGACTGAGGCCCAACTGACGGAACATCTGGAGTCAATTAAATTAAATAGATTTCAGTAATCACCTGCAAGAACTCATGGCATCCAAGTCTATCTTCTCTGTGAATATCTTTGGGTAAGTTGTCATTGTGAGAAGATGACAGAAACTCTGCTAACATATTGAGGGCAAGAAGTTGTAAAGGAAAAATAACATGTCCCAATTAAAAGATTGGATTGCATATGCCTTTGAAGTGTTGTTGTTTTTTCCCCCCAAAAAAGTGAAGCTATAAAACTGAGTTTGCCATGTATTCCTTTTGACTCCACATTGAACAGAAAATACATTATTGGTCTTGTCTTTGTATATCACATACTGCAACTTGTAAATATGTGCATGTTGTTTATTACATTTGTCTGCCTGCCTCCTCTTGCACTGAATTCTCTAAGTGAATACTTTTTGTATACCACCCATTTTGAAAAAGTTCCTCCTCCAATTCCTCACTCTCTCCCCTTCTAATGAGATGGTACACGTAGAAAACCAATTCGGTTTCTGAACTCTGAGAGTGAGTGAAGAATCGTGGCTGAGGTCATCCTTATGTCCCTCTGACTTGAACAGCTAAAGGAAGCATGAGATTTTCCACCTTATTTTGCAGAGCTGTTCTATGGCTGGTACACTTGCTGTAGCTACCCAGCTACACTTTGAACAGAGATCAAATATATATATATCTTCCTCTGAAGATAGAGTTTAAGGATTAGCTGTGGGATTTATGATTCCGAATTGGCTGGAACAATGAGCAACGGACAGTTTGAGGACTGTCCAGTGACCTATGTAAAATGAGTTTGCTCAGATCATGGGAGAACTGTAATCGTCCTGCATAGTATTCTCCACAGAGCAGCCTAGGAAAGGTGGGTTTGGAACCTAATCTATTTTGTTTCTTCAGAACTTCAGCTGGAAGTACTCGGTAAAGAACTTGGTGAGACATATAAGGACATTAGAGCTACTTTAGAAATTAGACAAATGTTTTGTTAGTATAGGGAAAGTTTAATGTTGAAGAGATGTTTAAAAATATTCTACCTTACCAAGATTTTTTTTTTTTTTTAGCACCAGCCAAATCACTGTTATGGAGTTTCATACATAATAGTGTTTTGTTGTTGCTTTTATTTTTGGCGGTGGATCCCTACTATTGGGAGTTATCGGTCTAACAAAATGGACAAATATCTGTGTAAATAGCTTCCCATATATTTGTTCTGATAGCTCTTTTGACTTTTTCTTCCCATTATGAATGGGAGGATCATTGTAAACCCCCCTTCTGGGTAGCCACCAAAACAACAACAAAATACTGGCTTATAGTCCCATGTGACCCTGTTTTTGTTAAGCCCAGAATATGAGTGCCTTTAGCAAGTTTTAGCATTTCACAGAGAGAAGAGATGTTATAATTATTGTCATTAATCACAGTTCATTACACACAAGAAGCTTGGAAAGACAAAGGTCTGTGTGAATTCTATGTTCTACACCTTTTTTTTTTCTCTTAATGCTGTCTCAATTTGATATTGAATAAAACTATTATTAGTGTTGATCAGGAACCATACACCATGAAAATGAATTCAGCTGTCCTAGACTGGCAACAGTCACAGATTATTTTTCACTTTTATCTGTATTACATTTATATTTAGTGAAGGGTGGTGTGGTGGGTTGGGAAGAGCTTGACACTGACTTTGAGAAGAACTTCATTCCAGTGTTCTTTTTCAAACTTGTGTCTTCTGTAGAGAGAAGAGAATTATGTATTACAAATAAGTGTGGGAAGAGATTGTCATGCTCAGTAGGTATTAAGTATGTTACTTTGTCTCTACGTTAAAAAAAAGCATCTTCCCAAATCAGGTCTGAGAACTCTTAAAGCAAAAATTTTCCTACTTCAAATAACTTTTAAAATTCCAAATTGCTGAGTACTTTGAGTCTTTAAAACATACTACTAAATTTATTGTAGAAATTTAACATTTTATTATGAAAATTTTCAAACACATATCAAAAAATTTTTACAATATACCCACCAGTAGATTCTACATTCAATATTTTACTATATTTGTATTACCACATATGTATCCAATCCTCTATTCACCCACCATTCCATAGTTTATTTTAAATATACATTTCAATGTAAATTTCAGACAATACATTTTCCTTAAACACTTTAGCATAGGTGTCATTAACTAGAATTTAATATTTGTTTAAATATCAATAGCTTTTAAAAAGCAGCATCTCAATGATAAGTTTAGATCATATGTTTCTTGAACTTATGAAATTGATAACCTGAGCCAGCTAACATACAGTTTTTCTTGTGTGGACTTTAGCCTTCCAGTTTCTGTTTTTGTATGTGTTTAGAGTGAGGGAAGACAACTTTCAAACTGAAGTTTTCTCGAGTTGGTCATTTTAAATGCTTAGTTGTCATATGTCTTAAAGTTTCATGACAATAATTTCTCCCTTATCCCTGTTGTTATGATGTATGTTGCTAAACTATGCAGCTTCTTTAAAAAATTGTAAGTTGCTGATTGGGGTTTATTAAATCAGCGTATACCTCATTTCAACCTGCTGCTGCTTTTCTCATCTCATGTTTCCTTCACTACTTTCACCTGTTCTACCAGGAAGTATAGAGTCAAACCCATAGATGGTTAGTTGTTTTAAATAACTCTAGATGAGCAGATTAAGTAGTTTAGAAAGTTAAAACGAATCATTTATCTAAAGCCTTTGTGTTCCCTGACAATGGTACTTGCCCATGCTTCCTCCAGCCATAATTAGCAGGATTGAAAATGACTGTACTGTACAATGAGTTGTTGAAATTATGAGCCTTAGTACCCATCTTTAGCTTTACTCTACTACTGTCTGGAAAACTTTTTTTTTTTTTTTTTTTACATATGTGAGCCTTAGTACCCATCTTTAGCTTTACTCTAGTACTGTCTGGAAAACTTTTTTTTTTTTTTTTACATATGCCTTTATTATGGCACTTTTTTTTGGTGGGCAAAGAATTTAAGTGACTTGCTCCAGGGCATGAAGATGCAATGGATATGTCAGAATGGAAACTTCAATGTTCTTGAATCTTACACTTGTGCTATTTTGATAAGATTCAAGGCTTCTAAAATAACATTTTCTTTGGGGCCCTTCAAATGAAATTATGAAGCTTTAGTAATTAGACTTTTCCTTTTTAGGCATTTCGTATCTTTTTGAACTTAAAGATCTTCTCATGGTCGTAGTTCCCATTAAGCCAATGAAGTTGCTGAAAATAGAATTTTACCGTTGAATACTAACGAATGCAGTTTTTATCGGATTTATTTTTGCATTTCAATGACTTTCATGATTCATTCATAATTCTTTCTATGTAAGTGCTTAAGTGACCCCCTCACTAGTGAAAATAAATGTTCTATATCACTGGTTATATGTATATTCTCTACATGATCTATTTTTTTAAGGAAAAGTAACCCCATATGTCAGAAGGAATGATAATATCCTTGGGCAAAGAACATAGAAAGTTTATTTCTACTCTGCAAATCTGGCATTTACAGGAACAAAACTCTTTCAGAGGGGCTGATCGTTGTTTGCCTTCTCTTGGTACTTGAGCTCCTTCCTGTGGTTTTGTAAATCCGTGTGTCATTTTATAAGAATTTCATGTTGATTCTGTGTAAATTGGTGTTTACCTTGTGGTATCCTCGGCTGCCCACAATAATTTAATTTGGGTATGGTGTGTCTGCTTTGAAATGCCTTACTAGAGTATGTCAGACTGCTCTAACGCATTCCTTTTATCTGCTAGGACAATACACATTGCCTCTCTTGGCTGTCTGCTCTAGATCCAGAAGCAAAAACGACTTTGCTTTCACTGTTAAGGTTGCATTTTAGTGCAGCTACTGTTCTAAATTAGAGAATAAAATCATGGAAAAGCAAGGGTGACATTAAAGCCCTTCATTTAATGGCATGGCAAGCTTTTCAAACAGTTTTTGCTATTTCACTAGAACAATGTCTCTAGTAAAGTCCATAGCTAAAAAAATAAAATAAAATAGAAGCCAGCCAAAACTGTGTGAAATTGGGGTTGCTCCCTCAAATGATTTCTCAGTGTCCTACAGGGGTTTAACATGGTGTGTGCTGTTGGTGCCAAGTGCCAGTCCACATGTTGGAAATCTGCTTCTGTTCTGGGGCTACAGAAATGACAAAAGTGTCATGGGATTAAAACCAATCAACTGTGAATTGTGAAATTGAAATTGCTCTTTTGGTTTTATGTTCTTCTGCACATTGAATTAGAAATCAAAAAAGTTACTTAAAATTTATACTGCTGATGTTGATGGCTCGTTCTGGCTGTGTATCCTCACCATGTATTGATTTCTGATAAAGGCTTGACGTTATGATAACAGGCATTTTGTGTTCAATTGAATAAAACACTTTCTGAGTCTTGTCTGCAGATTGTTTGGTGATGAGTTGGAGATCGAGGGAAAAGGTGCATTGCCAGCCTGGAGGTATTTTCGACGCTGATGTGCAATGGCTGTGGGTTCACCGTTAGTCTGCACCTAATCTGCCATGGACTTGAACGCATGTGGAGTCTTGTCAGCTTTTGGGCTTGCAGTGGAATTGACCTAGCTGCCCACACTACCCTCTCCCTTCCCCCTCACTGGAGTCAGCCTGAGGTTGGAGTGAGCTCTTAGTTTTATTGACATATTTTAAAATTTATCTTCCCTTCAAATTCGGAGAATAGTTGAGCTTAGCAGGATCATAATGGCTTCTTCTAGATAATAAGCACATTAACAGGCATATACCCATTAATAGTTTGGGTATTTCACATGTAAATTACTCTGATAATTAGCTTGAAAGTACAATATATTATTGGGGTATGGTCATTAAGCACTCTGTTTTACTGTATGCAATGTGCTTTTGACCTTAAATGCTCATTTTAAAGAGTAGATTATAGGCCCAGAAGGTGCTGTTATGGCTTGTTTAATCGGGATGCGAGACACATACACTTACTGTCGTGGGAAACATTCTTGTCTGCACACACAAAAAATGTTTCTGAATGAACTGAATAGATCACATTGAGTCTGTTTTACTCAAGGCATCAGCACATTTTATTAAATCATCTCCAAGAGATTTTTAGCTTAAAAGAAAATCATAATAATGGGCATTAAAGAAAAAAAGTCTAAAACCAATAGAGCTTTTCAGCTCTTTTATTTTTCCCCCCCCCAGGCATTTCTGAGGCTTATCCATTCCCTGAAAATTTATTCAAGACCAAGCACTGGGTATTATCCTTTAAAATTGCCTGTCTATAAAAGATTAGCAATGAACTCTCCCAATCCATTGTAAATTGATATATGA